ATTTTTACAATGTGTTTGTGTAAAGGATGAGAAATGTTTTTCTGCCTATTTGCAGTAATGAGCTAGAGATCTCTACATCTGATGAAGTTCACCCCTCCATCATGTGAATAAGTGGTGCCATAAGTATTTTTTTTTAATTTATTAAAAATATAATTTTATATTTATGTACATTTAATTCCTGAGGTTTTATTTCATCAGGGACAAGTAAGTATCAAAGAGTACAACTATCACTGCAACTGACTGAATGCCTTATCTATATTGTTTGTGGATTAGGAAACTGAATTAACTTTTGGTTCTTTCTGATCCAGTCTGGATATTCTTCTCCTGGAGAAAAAGAAACATTTTTTCCTGAAAACCTCTGTACAAACAAAAATATTTTTCAGGTCACTTTAGACTTTGTCAAATTATTAAAATATGAAAAAATATTTATGAGGATATTAAGAAATTAAAATTATTAGAACATGAAGAAAAGGTAATACATACAGGATAAGGAGCCAAAGTTAGAAGAGCAGACGAAAAGCTTTGGTAGAGATGGTAACAGATCTGTCATTCTTGGCTACGCTGGGTGATTTCATTACTGAGAAATTAACACCCTCCTGAAGTTTAGCCTGAAAATACATGTAAAAAAGAAAACCTAAATATACTGTGGTCTCACTGTGACTTTTGGCATTAGGAATTCTATTACTGAATTACTTTTTAAAAATAATTTATTTTATTTTTTATTAGGTCTTCAGAATTTCAGACCATGTGACATTCCACTCAAACCAATGGAAAATATGCAACCAGCTGGCTGCTCTTTGTCTTTGTTATGCCTGAGTTAAAAATGCCTTTTTCTTCACTGACACAATGTCATGAGGCATGAAATGAGTTTCCTTCCCCAGAATCTTGGTGCAGTCCACAAGAATGTAATTAGATCTTGGTCATGTAAGCTCAAAGATGAAATATTCTGTGTTCAGAGGTTCACTGTCGTTAAGAGAGGTACAAGTCATGAAGTGTGTCCTTCAGCAATTTAAAATTGTCTGGAAAATAGTTAAGAATACCAGTCAAACCTCCTAGTTGTACAAATGTCTCTATTTGTCCCAGTATTACCCTGTTTGCATCATTCTGCTTATAGGCTTGTTAAAATTCATTTAGGTGAAAACTGCTTCCAAAAGCTGCCTGAATCTGATCACTCCAGAATTGTATAAGATGAATTATCAGTCAGGAATAACACATGGAAATTTTTTGCTGGCATTATGTAAGATGAGTGCAAGATATTTTTGGGGGTGGGTCAGGAAGGGTGGAGTGACAGGGTGGGAATAAATAAGAAAGAATTAACCTTTCATGGCGCTTCCCTGTAAGGTTAAAATACAGAATATTTGTTGTACTAGGCTATTGGCAAAGTTTATTGCATATTTTTACTGATCCCTTAGGAAGAGCTTATTACCATCACTCTTTAATAGAGATCCCAGTGATGGATGAAAAAAATGATGGATAAAAAGATAAAATTTCTCTGCTTTTATGTGAACTTAGTGTTTTGTCACACTGGTTGTTGGAAATGATGCTTTAAATGATACAGGTTATAGTTCTGATTCAGATTTTTGTAAGCAAGTAAACCTGACATTTGGTGCATCAAAACCACTTCAGCTCAGATTCACAAAGGGCTGGGTGTGACCTTATCATGAAGAATAATTTTAATAGGATTCAGTTTCATAACCTATGTTACCCTCTTTTCCCTCCAAGGCTGTGTCCTTCCACCCTCTCATCAAGTCAATGGGTTTGCAGGTGCAGTAAAATTCTTAGGAGTCAGACCATATTTAATTTTATTTCAAATTAGGGAGTGGTAATTGTGGACCTGAAAAATCTTTTATTACCAGTAAGATTCCATGACATTTCATATTTCCATAATAAACCTGAAGACAGCAGCAAGTTTTCCTGCTGCTTCTGCTCATCCTCTCTGGCAGCAGCTGTGCAGAACACAACACAGTTTTAAATTCTCAGTTTGTGCTTTGCTGATGAAGGAAGCAGGAAGAAAGAGAAAGGACTTGGCTTCACACTTGGAGCAGATGTGAATTTTCTTGTGGATTTCAGTGTTCAACCTGTAAGGGATTTTCTTCAGTAAATCCAAGGGACAGTTGCCTACAGAAACCCTGATCTGACTCAAGAGCTCTTCTGACACCACTGGCACGCACTGACAGTTCTCTGGCTGGGATTCATTGTACTCACAGCTGCCTTCTCTGAACATGCATCTGGCACCAGGCCTTGTTCCATTCAGCCTTTGCTAAATCCTTATTTAATCAGGATTAATTAAAATCTTTATTTTAATTAAAAGTGTTAAATTCTGCTCACCGAGAGGCATTCTGGGAAGGGCTCAGCTGCAGGTCAGGTGAGAGACCTTTGAGAGTCAGTTGAACAGCCATTTAGGGCCGGTGGGAAGCCAGGCAGTGATTGGCTGGGGAGATGTGAGGGCCATATGAACAGAGAGCTGATTGGATGCAGTTGAACGTCGGTTGAGTGCCGGGTGGAAGCCAGGCCGTGATTGGTCAGGGAGATGCAAGGGATTGGATGCAGTTTAATGTCAGTTTAGTGCCGGTTGGAAGCCAGGCAGTGATTGGTTGGGGAGGTGTGAGTGCCATATGAACAGAGAGCTTATTGGATGCAGTTGAATGTCGGTTGAGTGCCTTTTGGAAGCCAGGCAGTGATTGGTTGGGGCGATGTGAGGGATTGGATGCAGTTGAATGGCAGTTTAGCGCCGGTTGGCAGAGAAGCAGTGATTGGCCGGGGAGATGTGAGGGCCATATGAACACAGAGCTGATTGGATGCAGTTGAATGTCAGTTTAGTGCCGGTTGGCAGAGAGGCAGTGATTGGTTGGGGAGATGTGAATGCCATATGAACACAGAGCTGATTGGATGCAGTTGTTGAATGTCAGTTTAGTGCCGGTTGGAAGCAAGGCAGTGATTGGTTGGGGAGATGTGAGGGCCATATGAACACAGAACTGATTGGATGCAGTTAATACCAACTGGACTTGCTCAGTTACCTCCTCAGTGCTGCCTCCTGTTTTCAAGGCCTGAAAGAGCAGCTCTGCAACAGAAAAAACATCCAAATCATTTGCCTATGCTTGCTATTACTGAACACTGCTTTCAATTTCCATCCTAGTGTTACTGCATACTACCCACCACTAAAAATCAGCACCTGAGTTACACAACAGTGTTGCAGTGGCAACAGTGAACAGCTGTATGTTCCAGCCTTCCCCTCTCTCAGCATGTCCCTCACACAGACAGCAACAAAACTCACAGCCAGACCAGCAGATTAACCACCTGCAATAATCCTGGCCCTGGGTGGACTGTGCAGCAGGAAGCCATGGGGGCCGTGCTTCTCCCTGACTCCAAGCAGTGTCCCAGAGCCCACAAAAGCTGTGTGGTCAGGCTCAATGGCACACAGGGATCGAGGCCTTTCCACTGAGAGCACATGTCCCTGTGGAAGCGACTGATGAGCTCTGGAGCTGGGGCAAGGGAGAGGGAAGGTCTCTGCACCTGGGGGCAGAGCAGAGGGAACAAAGTGGGTGTGTGTGACAAAAAGCAGGGACCTCTGCAAGCACAGTTCTCTCTCTATCAGTGGAGCAGCAAATTCTGCTGTTGGCAGCGATCCACCTTCAGGAGGTTCCTGCTTGCTCTCCCTACAGGGAGCTGCTTGTTCCTGTCCCCACAGCAGGCTTCCCTCTCTGATATGGGCCACAGAATCTTTCTTTTCCGTGCCTTGAAGGAGAGGGAACTTTTATAAGGAGAGAGGGAGGATTGATTGATTGATTAATTAGTATTTTAGCAGTGTTGACCATCATGACTTCTGGCTGAATTCAAGAGGCAAAATTAATAGCCCTGCTTTGAAGTGCTACAGAACTTGAATACCAACATGAACACCATTTGAGACACTTCGTCATTTTTTTTCAGGCAGCAGCACTGAAGGGACATTCTGAAAGAAATGGTGGGTTAAATAAAAAGGAGGACACAATTCTTGCAATTTGAGAAACTTCTCTCCTTTTTTTACTTCTTTTCACATATATATGTAGATATTACTGAAAGGCAGCTATACCAGGGTAGCTCAATTTATTTGGACTGAATTGTTCCCCAGGAGCGTATAAAAGTGACCGTGTAAAGAAAACTTTTCCAAAGATTCCTAAAAATTTCAGGAGTACTATGCTGTACAAGTTCAGGCACTTCAGAGCATTTACAGTCTCTTCAATGCACTTCTATGGGAATGCTCGAGAGACAGCATACTTAGTATGTCCAACATCTCTGTTTGCAAAACATCTTTATTTCAGATAGGGGTAGAGGAAGGACATCCTCTAAGATACAGAGGGTTAAATACAAAAAATGACACATTTCAGGCAATTTGAAAAACGTATCTCCTTTTATTAATTTTGCAAACATTGATATACAAACATTATTTAAAAGCAGACAAATCAGTACAGTGGGGTAGTAACTAAGGGTAACTTTGCAAAGCTGTCAATAGTAAAGGGCTTCTAGAAGGAATGGTTATAAACAAGTCTATTTAAAGCTACAATTGCAACTACAAGTAAAGCTATACCTACAACGGAACTAAAGCTACAACATAACTACAATTACAACTAAAGGTATAGCTATGTTTACAAGTAGAACTATAATTACAACTGCAGCTACAACTACAAATAAACAACTACATTAAGCCCCAAAAGGCTAGGTTGCTGTCCTCAAGGTGGTCCAAGCAACCTCTATCAGCGTCACTGTCATGTTTGGGGATATACAGGTGGAGACAGTTTGTGCCTCACAGACTTTGTCAGCAGCACTGATGGAACTGGAAGGTGAAGGGCAAGGCCATCCAGAGATGTGTCTGCACAGCGAATCCATGTGCTGCAGCATCATCCTTCCTCAGGAGCAGGAAAGCAGCTTCAGCATGGCCAGTGACAAATGCATCAGCTATGCAGAGCTCAGGTGGCTGCCATCGGCTGTGACACCCCAGCAGAGCTCTGTGCAGGAAACTCCTCTCAGTGGCTGGAGAGCAGCACCCCGAGGCGAAATCGCAGCCGACCATAAGCTTGTCTTGCCTCTCTGTGGGCGGCCGGATCTCGGGCCAGGTGCTCAAAGAGGTTGGGTGGCACAACCCCTCGCATTGCTGGTGGCAAGCTGATCTCTGCAGGAAGCCTCTCATTGCCCAGCACAAAGTGCCTCAGGTGTGTCAGCTGCAGGCAGCGGTCCAGGTACGCCATGATGTCCCACAGCCGCCGTGCAAATGCTCTCCTGTGCCACCGGGACAGCGGTACTGTGGTCAGCACGTGCATGACCACAGTCTTCCATGTAGAGCTGGAAAAACCTGTGTCCCTCAGGATGCAGGTGAAGAGCTGCAGGCATTTCAGGTGCAAGCTCTCACACGGCAGCTGCCTGGCGATGTGCTGGAAGAATTTCGCCTCTGCCACAGCGTATGTCTCGGCCCACGCTGTGCTTGCAGTGATGTTGGCCTTGGCGGTCTGGCTGACCACAAAGATGTCAGAGTCCCCTCGGCGCACCCCAAAGAGCATCTCCACCGTCAGGCTCTCCCTGCCTTTGCTTAGCTCCAATAGGCAGGACCGGCTGCAGGGCTGAAACGCCAAGTGCCATGAGTGCCACTGAGGCACCTGCAGCCACGAGCTTCTCACCATCTGGCAGAAGCAGTGGGAGGTTTTTTCCACGTCCAGGTAGGAGCCGGTGCAGAGAGTCTCTAGGAGGCTGTGCTTCTGCTTCCGCCGCAGCTCCTTCTGCGAGTGGTGCAGGAAGCACAATGGCTTCTCTTCCACCTGCTCCTTCTCGCACGTGCACACCAGCTCCACACTGACGTTGAAGGTCCTGTCTGCCACCTGCCCTGCACTGTTCAGCTCCAGGTGGAAGGCGTGCCCTGGTGGGGGATTCAGTGGGACCAGCACACGGTACACCCCATCCCAGTCACGGGGACTCCAACCCTCAAAGGCACTGCCCACCCCGATGGCTTCTTGAGGCACTGGGTAGAAGCTATTGCTCACGCTGTCCACAAAGACACGCGTCAAGCTCTCCATCAGCTCAGCTGTCACTGAGCATCCTCTCTCCAGGTCCTCCACAGGCCACTCTATGCGGTCCACTAAAAGGATTCCTTGTTCATTCCCAGCATCTCTGGTCTTTTCTCTGTCTTCCATTCCACCACTGCCACTTTTTCCCTTGCCACCATCATGGTCTTCTTTTTCTCTGCTTCTCTGTTCACTGGCATCGCTGCTTTCCTGCACCTTCACCTCCGTGCATTCTTCCTGTCCATCTACGCTGTCTTCACCTTCATGTACATCAGTGTTGCTGGCCTCACCGCTCCTTCTCCTGCAGGTAAACCAAAGGCCCAAGAGGAGCAGGACTCCAGCAAGGACCCAAAATGGCCACTGCTGCAGGGCACCAGAGAGCATGGCTCCCCAGCCCTTGTCCTGCTCCTCCAGCTCCTGCAGCAGCCGAGCCATCTCGTGGTCCAGCAGCTCCTGACGCTCCTTCATTCGCCGGTGCGTGGCCTCATCCCGCCCATCCCCAGCTGGCTGGGGGTACTGGATCAGGCTTTGCACGAGCACGAGGAGCAATGGCAGTACAGCCATGGTCTGCAGGAGGACACACAGAAGGGGTTCAGTGGGGCCGGAATGGAGACAGACAGTGGGGCGCAGGAGCCGCAGGGATGTGGCAGCAGGAAGGACAGGGCCCCTGGCAGCTGGCGGGCGGCCAGGCCTGCACCGCTGCCCCAGCAAGCACCGCGCCCTTAGCGAGGCGCTGCCACCGGGGCCGGGCCCTGGGTGTGGGGGCAGAATGCACGGCCCGGTACCGGAGCTTCTGCCCCAGCCCTCCTGCAGCCCCTGGCCTCCCCCAGCCCTGTCTCCTCACTGCTGTGCACTCACCGCTTGCCCAGGCTCTACTGGGGCAGCTGCACCCGCTGAGGCCTTTTAGAGCTGTCCCCATTGTGACACGGCCCCTGTGCTGTCACAGAACCCAGAGTGCCTCACAGGCCAGCCCCACCCGCCCTCCCCAGCCCGCTCAGGGAACTCATCATGGCCCTGGGCACCCAAAGCCCCAACAGACACCAAGTGCAGACCCATCACTTGGGAACCTGGCAACCCCAGAGCTTCCCTTGACAAAGCAGACATAAAGGCCCTGCCACGCAACTCTTGTCAAATATAAATTTGGGTGACATGACCCACTGATGTTCTCGGTATATAAGTGCAGGCTCTTAGTTAATATTGGTGGGGGACATTTTTTATCATTTGTATTTATACTTACTCCTTTTGGGGCAGGATGTCATGTAGAGACCGCATACTTAATATATACAACATCCCTGTTTGCAAAAAGTCTTTATTTCATATAAGGATATAGGAAGAACATTCTCTAAGATACAGAGAGTTAAATACAAAGAATGACGCATTTCAGGCAATTTGCGAAATTTATCACTTTTTATTAATTTTTCAAACATAGATATCCAAATATTATTGAAAAGGAGACATGGCACTATAGAACTGCAGTTCAATTCTCTAAACTAAGGGTAACGCGGCAAAACTAACAACACTAAAGGGCCTTTAGAAGGATTGCTAATAAACAAGTCTAATTAAAGCTACAGCTACAACTACAATGAAAGCTACAGCTAGTTAAGTTCACAACTAATGCTACAGCTACAGCTATAGTTAGAACTAAAACTAAAGCTACATCTACAGTTACAGGTACAACTACAACTACAACTAATGCTACAGCTAAAACAAATTAACTACATTAAGACCATAACAGTCTAGGTTGCTGTCTTCAAGGCCTTCCAAGCAACCTCTATCAGCTTCACTGTTTTCTGTTAGGATGTGCAGATGGAGCAGGTTTCTGCCTCACAGACTAGGTCAGCAGCACTGTTGGAACTGGAAGGTGAAGGGCAAGGCCATCCAGAGATGTTTCCGCACAGCGAATCCATGTGCTGCATCTTCCTTCCGCAGGAGCAGGAAAGCAGCTTCAGCATGGCCAGTGACAAATGTACCAGCTATGCAGAGTTCAGGTGGCTGCCATCAGCTGTGACACCCCAGCACAGCTCTGTGCAGGGAACTCCTCTCAGTGGCTGGAGAGCAGCACCCCGAGGCGAAATCGCAGCCGACCATAAGCTTGCCTCGCCTCTCTGTGGGCGGCCGGATCTCGGGCCAGGTGCTCAAAGAGGTTGGGTGGCACAACCCCTCGCATTGCTGGTGGCAAGCTGATCTCTGCAGGAAGCCTCTCATTGCCCAGCACAAAGTGCCTCAGGTGTGTCAGCTGCAGGCAGCGGTCCAGGTACGCCATGATGTCCCACAGCCGCCGTGCAAATGCTCTCCTGTGCCACTGGGACAGCGGTACTGTGGTCAGCACGTGCATGACCACAGTCTTCCATGTAGAGCTGGAAAAACCTGTGTCCCTCAGGATGCAGGTGAAGAGCTGCAGGCATTTCAGGTGCAAGCTCTCACACGGCAGCTGCCTGGCCATGTGCCGGAAGAATTTCGCTTCTGCCACAGCGTATGTCTCGGCCCACACTGTGCTTGCAGTGATGTTGCCTTGGCGAACTGGCTGCTCACAAAGATGGTGGAGTCGCCATTCTGAGCCTCTGTCGGCTGGCTGACCACAAAGATGTCAGAGTCACCTGGGTGCACCCCAAAGAGCATCTCTACCATCAGGCTCTCCCTGCCTTTGCTCAGCTGCAATCGGCAGGACCGGCTGCAGGGCTGAAACACCGAGTGCCACGAGTGCCACTGAGGCACTTGCAGCCACGAGCTTCTCATCAACTGCCGGAACCTGTGGGAGGTTTTTTCCACGCCCCGGTAGGAGCTGGTGCAGAGAGTCTCTAGGAGGCTGCGCTTCTGCTTCTGCCACAGCTCCTTCCGCTAGTGGTGCAGGAAGCACAACAGCTTCTCTCCCAGCTGCTCCTTCTCGCACGTGCACACCAGCTCCACACTGACACTGACGGTCCTGTCTGCCACCTGCCCTGTGCTGTTCAGCTCCAGGTGGAAGGCGTGCCCTGGTGGGGGATTCAGTGGGACCAGCACATGGTACACGCCATCCCAGTATGGGGACTCCCATCCTCAAAGGCACTGCCAACCCCGATGGCTTCTTGAGGCACTGGGTAGAAGCTATTGCTCACGCTGTCCACAAAGGCACCCATCAAGCTCTCGATCAGCTCAGCTGTCACTGAGCAGCCTCTCTCCAGGTCCTCCACAGGCCACTCTATGTGGTCCATTAAAAGGATGCCTTGCTTATTCCCAACATCTTCAGTCTTTTCTCTGTGTTCCACACTGCCGCTTTCTCCCGTGCCACCATCACTGTCTTATTTTTCAATGGCAGCCAAGTTACCTTTTTTGCCTTCTTTTCTATCCTCCTCCTTGTTTGCCTCCACATTCACATCACCCTGTTCTTCAACATTCACATCCGTGTATTCTTTCTGTCTATGTACTCTTTCTTCACCTTCATTTACATCATTGTTGCTGGCCTCACCACTCCTTCTCCTGTAGCTAAACCACAGGCCCAAGAGGAGCAGGACTCCAGCAAAACCCCAAAATGGCCACTGCTGCAGGGCACCAGAGAGCATGGCTCCCCAGCTCTCTTCCTGCTGCTCCAGCTCCTGTAGCAGCCGAGCCATCTCGTGGTCCAGCAGCTCCTGACGCTCCTTCATTTGCCGGTGCGTGGCCTCATCCAGCCCATCCCCAGTTGGCTGGGGGTACTGGATCAGGCTTTGCACGAGCATGAGGAGCAATGGCAGTGTAGCCATGGTCTGCAGGAGGACACACAGAAGGGGTTCAGTGCTGTCACAGAACCCAGAGCGCATCACAGGCCAGCCCCACCCGCCCTCCCCAGCCCGCTCAGGGAACTCATCATGGCCCTGGGCACCCAAAGCCCCAACAGACACCAAGTGCAGAGCCATCACTCGGGAACCTGGCAACCCCAGATCTGCCCTTGACAGAGCAGCCACAAGGAGCCTCACGCACAACTCTTGTCAAATATAAATTTGGGTAACATGACCCATGGATGTTCTCAGTATACTAAGGGTAGTCTTTGATTTAATACTGCTGAGGGGCATTTTTTTATTATTAAAATTGTCTTGGTTTGACGCTGGTGGAATGCCAGTGCCTCCACGAAAATAAATTCTCTCTGCTGTGAGATTTGAGTAGGAATAGATCAAAGCAGGCTCTTATTTAGGAATAAAGAAGGAAAACTTTATTAACTTTCTACTATATTTAAAAAGAAACTCACACAGAACTCAGAATGAAAACCTTCTAAAAACATTCATCCTCCCCCTACTAAATTTCTAATACATTACAGTAGTATAAAAACTTGGATTCTCAATTCAGTTACCACCCCTCAGATTACCAACTCTCAGTCTATTACCACCTTTCAGATAATCAGTTCTCAGTTCATTAAGAAGAGAGTAGTCGTTATTGTACCATAGGCTTCCCCTGGAAACACAGTTGATGCTTCTTGTGTTTCCATGTCACATGTGGCACTGCCCAGAGAACTTTTGCCATCGTGACGTCTTCCTTCCATGCCCAGTGCTCTCCCCACTGCGCATGGACCAGAGCTTCTTCTAGGGTTCTCTTTCTAAGGATGCTTTGCTCAGTTCTAAAGAAAGCAGTCTCTCACTTTTGGGACACATGTCCCCCTAAATTCACCCCCTTGGGCCGAGGGGTCTTGAGAACAGAGGTCTTCTTCTTCCCTGAAGACGGAGGGCACTTCTACTTTCCTCACTTGTCATCTCTGTTCACGCACTCCTTCATATCACTGCACTGTCTTGGCTCTAAGCCACTGCCTCCCCCTAAATGCAGTCTTTGTGTCACAGGAAAATGGTTCTGTCCATGGCTATACAAGAAAAGTCCAGCCAAAGGCCACTCCGTCATCTCCTCCCACCTAGGATTCTTGTCAACTTCACTCAGACATCTTTCACTTGCACAAACTTACATCACACCTGCCCATTTCCTCTTATTTCATCTCTAAAAAAAAAAAAAAATCGACATTTGTAAAGTTTCCATCATCTAAAAAAGAAGCTAAAATCTCAAGGTCTACCTGTCCAAAACTCCCACAGCTGCCCTGCCAATCACCTTCTCACCACACCCCCCACTTCTCCTCCTCAACCAACTGTACTATCAAATTTCAAAGTAGCACAAACACAAACGGCAGCTTTCTCTCTCTCCTAAAAAAAGAAGAATGTAACTGTCACCGACATCTTTTCATGAAAATCCTTTCTTTAGGATTTTTCCCTCTTCTGGGAAGCTGAGGCCCCAGAAAAGGAATATAAATAATGATTATCTGCTGCTGTGGAATGCAACAGGTGCACCTCTGATTGGCCCATGTTGCATGTGTACAATTAAGGGCCAGTCAGAGACCGAGCTCTCTCTGGGACAGAATCAGAGAGAGCTTCTTTATGATTCATTCCTTTTTTATTCTTAGCATAGCAAGCTTCTGAGACTTTTTCTCTCTATTCCTATTAGCATAGTAATAATGTAATATATATCATAAAATAATAAATCAAGCCTTCTGAACATGAGGTCAGGATTCTCGCCTCTCTCTTCACCCTGCAACTCTTGCAAGCCCTGTAACATGTAACTGCCTAATACCTCTC